ATTCTGTGGGGATTCAGGAAGGATTTCTGCTTATGGCAGGTATAGATTCAGACAAGAGAAACCAGATCCATGGACCACTACGGTTGTATGCCAACAGAGCTTGATCGATTGCATTGCCAGAAGCTTTGCTGCTTCAGATTTCACTTGATAGTTCACGGTGTCCCTACCTCACCTTGCTAGGAATAATGTCTGCTGATCGTGGCGTTCCATGCACGTTGTCTAGTTTGGGACGTGGAGTGGATTGACTGCGAATAGCTTTAGTCCCATTAAGAGATAAGGAGACGCATAGGTGGAAAAGTTGCCGTGCAGACGATGCATCAATAACTGCACTAACCTCAATCTGCCACAACTGGCTAAAATAGAGAACATCGTGAGGCTGCAACTACACGTACGTCAACATTGACGAGGCCTGAAACTTTCTCCATGTCGCCAAGGAAGGCCGAAAGCAGGGAGGATTTCCCGGAGCCTACTTGGCCGACCACCGCGACTAATTTCCCAGATGGAATTTGCAAGTCGACGTCCATCAGCACTGGCGGGTCGTCGGGTGCCCAAGCGAATGTCCCATTCTCGATCGAGGCTGCGCAATCTCCTTTCACGAGCGATAAATTTGTGAACATTTTGTTTAAATTTTCTCTTATCCTCATTTTTGTGGATTGGACTTTTAATTTTACCGACCTGTAGTCCCGTTTGGATTGCGCGATACATTGTTGGAATCCAATTCGTTCGCGTTCATGAACTTGTTGATCCTTCTGACGGACACCATGACCTGTAAAGAAGGCATTTACAAATTAACCCGATGAGAATGAAATTCGAGAAGGCGATGCGAACTCACCTGAATGATCTCGGAAGTGAGATACGGCAAGTACGTGAGAGGCGCCCGAATAATCCTCAAGAGACTCAAAGACACAAAAGCCCTGGACGCGTCCAGGACATGATCCGGGTCGACCAGCACGTAAGTGGCCAGAGACGCCAAGCCCACCTGCCGGATGAAGTTGTAAGAAAAATAGAGGTAAAAATGGGTTGGGTCTGATCCCGCGAAACCAGAAAGGACACCAGAAACGGAGTCGAGATCCAGAGGAGCGAAGAGATCGACGACAGAATTGCTTGTCTTCGAAGCCAATGAATCTCCCTGTTTCGAATTTTCTTTATGCGTTCTTGGAACGGCAACTCCCATGCATACAGCTTCAGAACCTGCGAAAGCGTCGAAGCCTAACCAGCGTATGCAAACGAGGACACATGGGAAGATCGCGGATCGGCACCTTGATGCCATTAAGGACTTCACTCATGAGTTTCATCCGTTCGTCCTTCTCGTTCATTCGCTTCACTTGAAGTTTCCGGGAACGAGCGGCTATCGCGCTGTTGATGGGCATCGCGAGGAGGATCACTCCGACTCCCGCGAGGAGTGAGGGACCTGTAACAATTTTTTAATGATTAAATTTAATGATTTTAACAATTTTTAATGAATTTAATTGGAAGATTAAGCAATCGTTGCGGGTTTGGATACCGAGTTGAGCCCAGAGCAGGTAAAAGGCGATTCCGAGTTGGATCGGGAAAGTGAGAATCATGCTGAAATTGCCGGAAACGTCAAGAAACCGCTGGGCATCCACGGACATCAAGTTCATCATCTCTCCGACCGACGATTCTTTACGACTCGCCGATGACAAACGTAAGGACTGGAAGGAAACGACAAAAATCGTCGAATTCGCAGAAATTCAAGAAAAATGCACAATACTGTGACGACGATCACCTTCTTATAGATCGCCGCGATGATCGCCGCCCTCGTCCTCATCCCAACGATCATTGATCTCTGGAAGGAGATCGTGTACATGAGAGGCTGCAGGACTCCAGCGACGAGCAACCCGATCGCGAAGACGCAGCCTTGCCACTGAGGAGCCTCCCCGTTCACGAACGAAATCATCTGACTGGGATTTAAATTCCCTTTTTTTAATGACTGGGATTTAAATTCCGTTTTTAAAGGGAGCGGCGGGAGGGAGGGCGAGGCGAGGCTCACTGGAGAAGCAATGGGTTTGCGAAGCCGATCGCGTCGCCGAGGAAGAGGAGGCATCCGTTGAAGAGGAACGCGGGGCCGCACGTCTTCCATAAGGGACTGAGGATGGAAATTTTCTGCAGGGATTTCTCCGGGTTTTCCGGCGTTTTCGGTTCGGTCTGCCTTCATGGGGGAATTCGCGGTTTTTTTTTCCAATTAATTCCCGATTAATTAAATCTGAAGTACTTACAGGTACCTGCGCGAGCCCGTGCCCCTCATGTTCTTCTCGAAGTCGGCGACAATTTCCTGCGATGCATTCTCCGGGTCGAGGTCCCAAAGCTCGTCGAACGCGATCGGCCGTCTCCAGCCGAGCCGTATGAAATCCGTGAACCAGGAAAACCCGATTCGAGACAAGAAAGGCGCTCGCTTCTCGGGAGACGGATTCTGCGTTTCATCCTCCCAGATGAAGACTTGAAAAAAACTCAGATTTGGCGAGGAAAATTGGCACTCACTTGAGAAGTGGAAGGAACGGGCGGAGCTTCGCTGAAGCAGTGGAGAATTATTTCGATCGCGGCGACGGCGAACTCGATGATCGCGGATGCGGATGATCCTCGGATTTGGAGAGGCTGGAGATTAAAATATTCCAAATCGCTCGGCTGCAGCGAAGACTCAGCGAAGAGATCGAATCGATTCACCTCGCGGGAACGAAGCCGGCTCCAGAGAGAGACGGAACTCCTCAGGGAAAAGAGGAGCCAGAAAGCGAGGACGATCCCCGATTCGCGAATGCCTCGCGATTTTTCCGCGTGCGTCAATATGCAAATCAGCGCCTGGAACAATAGGCGGGTGCTCGTTTATGACTGCCAGGCATGCGAGAAATTATAATAATAATTATATTATAATAANTAATTATAATAATTTCGGACTCACCATGGTGAGAATGAGAGTCAGCGGCGTGATGTAAAACGCAAGTGCAGATTCGTGCTCGGCGAATGCACGAATCAGATCCACCGAATAAAGAACCAGCAATGAAGCGGTCAGGAGCTGGAAGACAGGTAATTTAATTTATGGTAATTTAAGGAAAACGAACATTTTAATGCGGTGATTTGACTATCTATCGATGGAAAAATGCGGCTCTGCCATCACTTAGCGTCTCGGTTGTTCCATGCCCTTTAATTTATTCATACAATTTCCTGTAACGAAAGAGTTCAGGATTTAAAAAAATATTTAACCTCTTATCTTTTAATCCCATTAAATAAAATAAGTCCATTGATGCGATTGCAATAAAACCGAACCCACCAGTTTCGCGACGTCCATCCAAGTCCAAGGGAGGCATTTCGCCTTGCTCTTGCAGAGGAGGCGCGTCTCGGCGGCCGCCGCGGCCCAGAGCCACCCGCACGGGACCCAAACCAGCGCGGTGTTCCGGAAGCAGGGCGTGAGGTCGGGGCTGTGCGTGAACCACGTCAGGTTCGCGTCCTAAAAAAAAAAAAAGAAAAGGCTGTGCTTTCCACGAAATGATCAGAGCATTTGCCGGTTGCTCTATTTTGAGGCAAGAAAACGCCAATTGCATCCTATCGAGGAATTTCATTCCAGAGAGGGAAATCCACCTGCAGGGGAAGGATTGGATGCATCATGATTGATGGATCATATTTATGATATGGTAATGAATCGGGAACATTTAAATATTTTTTGGAGAATTGAATATTTGACGTTATCGACCCTTATATTAAGCATATGACTGGAAACTCGTGATTCCTATGAAAATGCGTTTGGGCGTGAGAGGAATGGTCGATTTTGAGGAATTCGTGGACCTTTCTTCCGTGAAGGCCACCCCTTTTCGCAACGAGCGATCGTTTCCACGAAGGAGGAAATTCGGGCAAGGAAAAATTTTTTTTTTGGGTCTTATTATAATGATTTAATGTAAAGATTTAATCGTTCCCATGGCCAAAATCGCAACGCGTTTTTGATGTTTAAAAAAAAAAAAGCGAGCCCTAAATGAGGCGAAAAACTAAACCATTAAATGAAATCCCCAAAATTCTGACGCTCTTTTTATTATATTAAAATGTAATATAAAAAATTCCTTCTATTCCTGGATGAATTTTAAGGAACTGCGAGCCAGGAAGGGAATTTGTGTCGGATCTTGCCCCCTTCGGTGCCTTTTTAGAGGGAAAACCAGCCATTTTCCCTTCCCAGGTGTTTCTGCGGGTGTTGGGAGGAACGCGGTCATCATTAGTAAGCGTAATTAGTAATTAGTAATCAGAGAGATTTCGTGACGCGTTCTCATGATTTATTATCGCAACTTAATGTCCATTGATACATGATGAACGACGCACCCAGAAAGGAGATCCGCAATATTCCCGAAGAGTTGCCATTTTCCACGAGAAGCGACGGCGACGATGGCAGGAGCAAGGCCGAATGTCCTTTTTCCCTCTCGCAGGCGAAAAACCGATTTCGCGGGCGTCCGGCAGCCTGTGGGTCACAGAATGGGCGATTAATTTCGGAGGTTCGTGCCGTCAGCATGAGGCGCCCTCGTGCCACCCTCACCATGCCACCCTCTTCTCTCGGTTATGACGGGGCCTGGTTGCCTTTTGAAGGGCGACGCCCCCGCGTTCAGATGAGCAATAGCCAAATATGTTTGCATGCGCGGTTTTATCGAAATCGATAGTGGGAAGGTGTGATTAGCATTGAAATGTATTGAAGTTCGAGTCAGTCTGAGTGGGACGCTTAGGAAAAGACAGAGCGGTCAGAGATTAAGTCAACATATGAGATATGACTTAACATACCTGAGAGAGGCTCAAGTTCTATCAAGGCACAAGAAGATGAAGCGGATTCGCGTAATGTTACGGGGATCGCGACGAACGCAACGCCAAGTATATAACGTCACGGAGCATCTGTGATGTTTCACCCCCTCGATCCCTACGATGCGACTCGCAGAGCCGCATCCTTCATTAGATATGATCCACAGCTGGATTGTGTAATCCAAGGCAATGAACATGGTGCAACGTGAACTCATGATGAGGCCACCAGGCCCTCCCCCCCCCCTCCCCCCGGGGGGGGAGGGCCTGGTGGTCTCACGCCGAGAGTGGGATCAGATGAGAGCTGGAGGGGGAATGCAGGCGGCCTGAATGCAGTGGATCTCTAAGAGGCACGGAGTATCTCTAAGATGGATAAGCCTGGCGTGTTTTTAAATGAACGCTCGACTTCGACCCCGGATGTTATAATCGGCAGACATGCCTCCTGACATCCTATTTTGAATTTTAAATCTCGATCTGAGTCTGGATGAGATGCGACTAAGATGGGAAATGGGGTTTGGCTCAAATTTAGAGCGATGGCGCATTCTCTTGCCGTGAGTGGTTCTGTGTATAAATTAAAAAAATGGCATTTTGTTTGAAACGACGGAAGGAAAATGGAACAGTTGTGGCTGAGACAGCATCAGAATGATACTGCGGAACAGCGGGAATGAAAGGGAAGGAAATTCACCCAGTCTCTAAAAAAGCGAAAAAGGAGTTCCAATTTCCCGGGGGGGGGGGGGGGGGGGGGGGGGGTCACCCATCTTTCTTCAGAAAGAAAAAGAACCGAGATTTCAGGTTGAGGGGTCAGGCCATTAAAATTTGGGTAACTTGAACGGGTGCTGACTTGTCTGTGCTGCAAAATTGCTCTTTGTGTATTTGTCCAGAATTTTCTCGTATCCCGCTTATTCACGCGAAATGCGTATTGTTTGAAAGATTGAAATCCTGGAAAGTTGCATATATCATTTTCGACTAAATCTGAAACCATGACGGGTTCATTATTCCATGGGTCCCAAAAGAGGGACTGCTCGGTTGGTAGCCGAAATGGCTCATGCGGCAGGAGCCCGAATTCGAAATGGGAATTTTTGCTGATTTTTTACACGTTCAAAAAGGAGATACATTGTGCACGCCATCCCGAGATGTGGGACGGCTGGTAACCTAGTGGTGAATTCCGAACCCAAGCAGAATATGAGTCTTATGCGATCCAGCAAGAACGTCGGCGAAAAATCCCTCTCCATTGGTTCGATCAGGTCGAACTTTCATTTCCTACCTCGGACATTTGTACGCTAAGAAAGAGACTGAAAACTAGGCAATTCCGCCTCGAATTTTCAAACCCAAACTAACCACAGAAGGAGAATTGCTTTCCGAATGTCAGCTATTCTCACAAAATTATGCATTTTTAGGGTGGATAGGTCTGCCGTGTTTTTTGTTGAACGTTCGGACCTCGACTCGGGACATGTTCGTCACGTTCAAATTGGTGGCGCCGATATTGGAGAGAGTTCGCAAGAGTACATAGGCGCATTCAAAGTCCACTTTCGGTCATCCTAATGATGGACGGAGGAAGATCTACAGTAAGAGGGAGAAAGGGGAAGGAAATTATAGAGGCTGCCTGGACGTTGGGCGGCGCACGCGAGGACCGAGTGAACCGAGTCTCTGCGTTCAAGGTTCTCAATGCTGTTTTTATTGACCTAAAATTGAATTTCGGGTCACACTTCTGATGTGCCAACAGGGGATAATTCTTTTGCAAGAAGTCCCAGATAGAGGGTGCGGCGTTTTTATGCAAAATCTATCAGGGAAAAGCTAAGATGAAGAAGGTCTAAATGATGGGATGGATGGTTTATGACAAATTTTTGTTGATATCATCATTTTCCTCACAACCCAAGCGATTAATTTCAAAAATAAAAATGCCATACGTCAAATGTCATAACAACATTTATTTTGATGCAGAGCTTCTATGTTTCATTGAGCCTGATTGATGCCTGCATCTCTTGTTAGGGCTGCGAACATAGACCTTGAATCTCGAAGGAGATTCGTCGGCGAGTCAAATTCCTTGATTTCTCCCCCATCCAAGACGACCACCCTGCAAAATAGCATGCGAAATTTGAGATATCGATAACGCCTGATTGTTGAAGAGATGTCGACGTGGAAGGGATCCACGGTCTCACCTATCATAGTCCATGATGGTGTTGATACGATGTGCAATAGTGAGAACCGTGCAGGTCTTGAACTCCTTCCGAATCGTGTTCTAGAAAGAGACTTCATACACTTAAGAAACGATGCTGCGCGTCAATACATTTTATTTTGGTATGCTTTTTTTTATTCCTCTGTTACTATCATACGTTTCGCCATTCAGGATATTGACAATTTAGCTACAATACCGAACAAATATAATAATGCTGATGACATTTCGAGTCTACTATCAAAATTGAGGATTGGTTCGGTAGCATTGGAAAAACCTTAGGAATGAAAACAAACTCTCTCTGGTTGGTATTTTCTGGTTATCTAGCCTCAAATAGCTTTACCCGACTTCTTACGCTTTGCAATTCATATAAAATACCTGACAGTGTAAGCGTAACAAAATTTTCGGCGATTTGTCTAGGCCTATTACCCTCAAGGTACACTATGCCATAACTCCGTGAAACATTTAGGAAAAATCATTTGTGCATTGGGACTGCGAGGAATATTGTAATAAATGTACAATACTAACTTCTGAGCGAATAAAATACTAAAGCGCATGTAACGCACAACTCAAAGGTCTTACCATCATGTAACTTGGTGCTGGAGACAAACCTTCCGATAAAGAATTGTGCTGTCCGTATTGATGGTGCCGAAATGTCTTATATCTAACATTTAGAGGAATTATTTTGCAATCTCTACGTTGTCGCTTCCTGAAATTAGGATATCAATAGAAAAAATCAGAATATTCATTACAATAATGATATGACTCAGTAGCGAAAAAGTACTCATGTGTAGAAAAATACCAGAACAGTGCACCAAATTATTTTCTTTTCTTTATTAGGTGTTTTCGATCTCAACTCATACCAAGAACACGAAAAATTTTGCCACATTACTTTCTTCTTCAATTTGACGATAAGTTACCAAGCCTATCCAGAAATGGCATCGGGTATCGGGCGAGTCACGATTTTCTTGCGAGAATGGACAGAATTCCATGCCGGCTTTGCGAAACATGCCTACGTATTAACTTACCTGAATGAGTTCGTCGGTTTCCAGGTCGATGGCAGCTGTCGCCTCGTCTAGAACGAGGACTCTGCTCTTTCTCAGCAGTGCTCTTGCTAGGCAGATGAGTTGTCTCTGGCCAACACTGGAGGCGGAGAATTTGTGAGTCGTGTAATGCAAACAGGGAATTAGATTTACATGGGAATCTGCCAGTATACCTGAGGTTTTGGCCTCCCTCTGCGACAGGATGTTGAAGTCCCTGTGGAAGTCCCTTGACAAAGGTTTTGAGGTGAGACAACTCCAGTGCCCTCCATAATTCCTCATCTTTATGCTTCTCAAAAGGATCCAGGTTTGTGCGCAGGCTCCCCGAAAACAGAACTGGGTCCTATTCACAAATGAATGTTCCATCATTCGAGTGGAGTGCTACCATAGTTCGCCTATTTTTCTTACCTGAGGGATTATTGTAAGTTTTGAACGTAGGTCATGGAGTCCGATTTCACTGATATCGATGCCATCAATTATGATTTTCCCACCGGCCTTTTCAATGATACGGAAAAGCCCCAGCATGAGTGAAGACTTCCCAGCTCCTGTTCTGCCCACAAGACCCACCTAGGAGGTGAGGGGAGAGGGGGGATAAAGAGAGAGGGAGAGAGATGGGGAAAATGAAAGTAAATACCGAAACTTAAAGATTAATTTCTTTTTAATACCAAACATATGAAAATCCATGTCCGAAACTGTAGACGAATGCAGAAGCATTGAAACAGAGGCGTAATGCGGTTTCATTTATAAATCTAAAAAATGCTTGATTTAACCTGAGTAGGCTCTACCGCTTTACGAAACGTATTCATTATTTATGCGCGTTCCACACCTCCAGAGATAAAATATTAAGTCCTACTACACATCATTTTCTGAGGCCAACAAATTCATGCAACACGCGAACTGTTTTATCTTACTGAAGGCAAACCCTCTTAGCCTCAGTGATGGAGTCCATTATCACTGGAGATAGGCGTGTTTGCTTTCAGTTAAGCTGAACAACTTGTATACCTTTATTGTAAAGCTATAGCAGTTACTCCATGTGGTAGAAAATGCCCTTGGCAAATAATGAAACAGCCTCTAATGTATGTAATGTCACAATTTTGCTGCTTCAGATAATTCTCGGAATAGTAAAATCCACCAACTGAGATATATCAGATACCATGTTACCTAAAGAAAGAAATTATTGAAAAAATATATTTTTGACTTGGGACTCTGTTAAACCTGCAGCAATAACTACATTGCGTCTTTGCACATGATGTTTTTTGCTTTAAAGTACAATATTATTAACTAGCCACATGTATTCACCCGGAACGCTAATATTTATTTTCCTGATTTCGATTAGACCAGCAGTTTCAATTTCTGGACGAAAGAAGTTGGTCGCTGACATTCAATATAAAAACTTTTTTTTATGAGGGTGGCAAAAACACTCAAAACATATAGGCAAGGATGGATGCCTTAGTCAAAAGAAATAGAAATACACATTTTCTGATTAATTGCTTGTTTTGTTGGATCCTTTTTTCAACCCTATTTTACAGTATTTCAAGTAAACTTATTTGGCATGGTCAGACGAACCTCCATGTCAATTCTTGCTTACTCACCTTTTCTCCTCCTTTGACATCCATGGAGATTCCTCTTAGAACAAGTTCCAAACCTTCTCGGTATCTAGTCTGGTAACCTCTGAAGGAAATATTTCCTTCTTGAGGCCAGTCTTCCTTAGGCTTCTTTTCTGGGATTTCCCATGCGGCCTCAGTTGGTGTCTCAGAGTATTCTTTGATTCTCTCCACCGACACAATGTTTGTTTCTACCACAGCCACATTGCGCGCCAACCAATTGAAAGTTCTCGAAACCTAGAAGTCAATATTCCAGTGAATGGCAGCCGTTGAAACTTATTGGCATCATTTTTAGATGGAACGACGAAAGGAACTGACAGACATAGCGTAGGAGATGGACAAACCAGCCATGGCAGGGGTCAAGGATCCCCTTCCAAACACAGCAAGAAGGGAGGCTATGAATGTTATAACGCCTGCAAGTACTTCAAGTCGGACTCTCAACCAGCTGTAATGAAGAGGAATGGTGGAAGGAAACATTTCTCTTTTTATTTAGAGATGCTAATTGAAGTAATATTTTCATCAGATTTCGATTTATGACTAAATTTTGAGAATTTCTCAAGCTTTACCTGGATTAATTTTGTTTTGACATTTGACAAAAACTACTAAAAATGTCCAACGATCAACATTTTCGCGACCAACTGATACCGGTATGCTGTCTAATGCTCATTATTCAGTCGGTAAGTTCAGTCTTTCAGGTATTACATTGGAAGATGAATTCCAATATGGGATATATAACATAACACTTCAGGACGCATTTACGAAAGATTATGTTATGATCACGATCGTGTCTTCCATGGTATAATGTGGGCATTCAAATAATAATGGAAGCCATATTTTTCGGAGGTGGCGAATGCCACAAGTACAGTACCTAGACGCAGTGACTTCAGGATATTGACATTGATTATTACGGTCGACTGCATCCGCGGATTCTCTGATGAACTGTTCCTCTCTCCTGTATGCTCGGATGGAGGAGATTCCATTCACAGTCTCTCCAAAATGTGAGTAGATAGGGGATCGCGATACAGATTCGAGCCTTTTCAGTTGCCTTGATGTTGAGACGTACATGTTCTGCAAAAAATGTAATGCGTAATAATTGAAGACCTGAATGCATTAGTAGTTCTTCTTTCTGGGAACTTTCTTAACCTGCACAAAATAGTACACAATGATGATAGGGCCGATGGCAGCAAGGAACCATGGAGCAGCGTATATATTGATCACTAGGGCGCCAACGACCTAAGGAGAGAAAAGGTTCAAAATGTCCCCTCAATCTCCACACAATAGCAATGTCATCCCTCGCTATGACTTCCAAGCTTTACCTCAAAGGCACAGATGAGGACGTCTTCAAAGAATAGAGCAATGCCTTCGTCCACGCTTGAAACATCCTGCGAAAATCGATTAAGAATTCTTCCGACGGGATTCGTATCGAAGAATTTTTGAGAGTTTCTCATGACGTTTCGGAGGCAATTGGCATGAAGTTTCCACCCAGCCTCACAAACCAATATCCAAATCATCAAGGCGGCCAGGGCAAACACACCAGCTATGATGACGACTGGGTCCTTAAATCGCCACTCAAACTGTTTCATGCAAGAAACCGGTATCTACGAGAATGTATGAGACTCACCGTGGGAGAGTCCAAGTGCTGTGTAGACTCCAAGATATTTGTACCTTTCTGAGTCGTTGACTGTACCATTCTGAGAGGCCTGATCGGACCATCTGGATAGCCACAAATTTGAACCGACCAGAAGTCCCCGACTTATGCCATACATGAGGATCATGACCAAAGACGGATACAGGCCCATGCTCTTCAGTAAGTACAGGTACACCGACCACTTCACCTGAATAGAAATACATCCCAAAATGAATTATGGAAAGAGTAACTAAGTTCGGAAGCAATTGAAAGTCATGATGAGCAAATGCCACTGTCCCTACCCTTCCTTTTTCTGTCGTTTCATCCTCAATGAGGCGTCCTTCACCATTAGGATGTAATGTTCTGTCTTCTTCTTTTGGAATCTCACTACAGGACAGAGCATATAAAATATGACAAGGATATGTAAATACGAACCAAAGACATTCAGGATGACGTACCTATCAGGTACTGATTTTCCACGTTCACTCTCAGAAACTTTTGACTGATGTCTTGATCTTCGTCGGACTATTATTTTCTCCCCCGTGACGATCTCGACTACGTGTTTCATTTCCTCCAACTCGTCTTCTGCACAATGGCAGGGAACTTTTTTTGGCAAGACAGCCATGATTGGAAGACGGACAATGATACTTAAGAAGACCTGAATCTTCTCCTTCCTCTTGAGAGAGAAACTGGATTATAAAATCATAGAAGGCTCCTTTCTTCTCAATCAACTGCCGATATCCCCCTGCCTCTATTATTTTACCATCTTTCATCATTATGATTAGGTCAGTTTGCGGCAGGTAGGTAATTCCGTGTGTCACAAGCACTCGTGTCTGTGAAGAAATATACATTTTCAGTAAAGATGCTTCTACAAGGGCTTCTTTCAAATTTGCAAAAACTTCCAAACTTTGCTATTGAGTAGTCCCTCAGGTCCAATAACTTGTTGGAAGAGGTGCTTTCCTACGTGACTGTCAACAGCACTGAGAGGGTCATCCATGAGGTAAACATCCGCATCGCTGTAGACTGCCCTGGCGAGACTCACTCGCTGCTTCTGTCCTCCACTCAGATTAATGCCCTAAAGTAACATATCAGAACGTAAAAGTCCGTGTTTCATGGAACTGGACGATCCGAAGTGACAAGGCTTTAAGAATCTCCTTGTAAATTGTCTCATCGCATGTTTTCCCAAACAAAACATTGCTCTTCAATGTTGCATTGCGGATCCAGGCTTCTTGAGGGACATACGCCACCTCCCCCTGTTTTAATATCGAAATACAGTTAACTTTTAACTCTGCGGCCAAAGGTATTTTTTACATGTTGTCCCAGAAACCCTCCCATTGAAATGATAATCCTGATAATCCTGAAAAAAGGATACATTGGCTTCAGAAACACGAAAGGAACAATTTCCACACTCTCCGTGGACTGTTTGATTCTCTCTTTCTTGCGCTTCTTTTCCGATCGAGGAAAATCCAAATTTTCCTAAATTATTTCTCAAATCGTCTTTCATGATTGGAGTAATTACCAAAAATCATCTGAGTGGTGGCAGCGGAATCTATGTTTCCATATAGGTTATCGGACTTCATTACAGGTTTACTCAAATATTATACAATTTTTTGAGGGATGGAAAATCGGTGATTCAGACGGACCCTTCAATGTCGACTTCACCAACATTCTAAGAAGTCCAGTAATATTGGTCATGTCATTAATGCTGCTTTAAAGAAGACGAAGACATCTTTGGAATTCGCCGTGAACGGAGCTTGGAATTTACAGCGAAGATCATAAAAAGAAAGGCATGATCTCGGGATGATTGGGGAAGTTCTCTGATTATATATGGGATTCTCAATAATAATAAAAAACTGTACAACAGCAACGGTTTTCATATTCCAGGTTGCAGTCAGGAGTGACGTGCTCCTCTGTCCCAGGGAGAGATTCCTCATATTATTCATTCCGTTTGTGACCTTCGGTCATTACTGATAGCGGTCGAACACGATTGTGGTTTTTAACCTCACCATGCCGCGACGGGGATCACGTAAATGGCATGAACATATGCGTGAAACAGGTGATTTGGTTTTAGTTTCCGCCATTTCATTACATGATCAGGTTGATAAAGAATAACCAGTGATCACAATAAGCGATGAATATTGTACCTGAAAGTTATCGAAACCAGGCCTACCTTGACGTGTACGAGGCCCGAAACCTTCTCCATGTCACCAAGGAAGGCTGAAAGCAGAGAGGATTTTCCGGAACCAACTTGTCCAACTACTGCAACCAACTTCCCCATTGGGATTTCCATGTGAAGGTCCGTAAGGACAGGCGGCTCATCCTTGGCCCAGGTGAATGTTCCATTTTCGATCAAAGCGGCACATGCTTCTTTCATAAATTACACAAGGTAGTTAAATATACAGTTCCGATGATTTCTATGAGTTTTGACTTATAAGCTGAGGTTTATTCTGTATGGACAAGAACCTAAAGGAAGCGCGTTATGTAACAACCCTAGATTAAGTACACGTAAGTTGAACTTATTTATCCTCTTGACGGACACAATGGTCTGCAAAGAAGACCGCTTCCGATAAACTTGATATTCAAGCATCAATGCACCGTGCCAGAGGAAATACTTACGTGAATCAGCTCAGACGTGAGATACGGCAAGTACGTCAAAGGAAACTGCACAGTTCTGAAAAGGCTCAATGACACAAATACAGTGGAGGCATCGAGGACGTGGGTCGAGTCGATCAGCACAAATGTAGCAAGAGATGCCAGGCATACCTGTCAGAAGAAAGAAGGAATTTCACGAAAGGAAATGAAAATAAAAACGACCGCTGAGACCACGACGAACTGAAAGATTACCAGAAACGGAGTGCAATTCCAGAGGAATGAAGTTATCGAGGAAAAGTACGCATTTTGCCGAAGCAAGCGTATTTCCCTTTCTCGTATGCCCATGATACGCTCCTGGAATGGGACTTCCCATGCATAAAACTTCAGCACCTTCAAAACAATGAAACTATTGTCTATCTTTAAAAAGCGGAGCATAAACGAAAAAGCTGCATCTTGTTCAGAACCTTGATGCCGTTGAGAACTTCACTCATGAGTTTCACTCTTTCATCCTTCTCTTTCATTTGCTGCACTTGGAGTTTCTGGAAGCGAGCAGCTATCACACTATTGATTGGAATTGCGACGGCGATCACTCCTATTCCAGCCAAGAGGGAGGGACCTGCAAGTTTGGATTATCCCGATGGCTAATATTCGCTATTCGCTAATCGGGAAAATAAAATGATTTAATCATTGTAACAAGGAATACCGAGTTGAACCCAGAGAAGATAGAATGAAATTCCAAGTTGAATCGGAAGAGTGAAGAACAAGGTCAAGTCCACAGAAATATCCTGGAATCGTTTGGCATCTACTGAAATCAAGTTCACCATCTCCCCGACAGTAGATTCCCTGCGAGCCGCTGGCGACAAACGCAGGGACTGGAAATAGTGAAGTCAACATCAATATGCGCCATGCTGATTCTGAATAAAATAAATGGATTTTGTAGAGATGACCACCTTCTTGTAGATAGCAGCAATGACGGCTGCTGCAGCTCGGACCCCAATCACCATGCACTTCTGGAAGTACGCCGCATAGAGTAGAGCCTGCAGGGTGGAAGCGAAAAGCAACCCGAGCGCGAAGAAGCAGCCGTGCCACAGAGGAGCGTTTCCGTTCACGAATGAGATCATCTGTCTGGAAAGGAAGACGATGTGACATCCTCCGTAGAGGCTATCCTGAGGATGGATGTCAATGTACAATTTGGAAGAGGCCTCACTGGAGCAGCAGCGGATTCGCGAAGCCTATCATGTCTCCAAGGAACATGAGGAATCCGGTAAAGAGTAACGCGGCTCCGTGTGTCCTCCACAAAGGACTCAGGATTGAAAATCTCCTTTCGGGCTTCGCCCCTTCCGCGCCATCTGTTGTGCTCCTATGGAAGCACCAGCGCGTGGAGATATTAACTAAATTGGAGATTAATTCAATTGGAGATTAAACAGCGGCTTCTCTTTTTTCCCCGACAATTCGCAAGGAAGTGCAGAGCGACGGAAAAAGACAGCGAAGCATGGCCAACATGTCCGCTTCACTAAGCCTATTTTTTTTTAAAAACCAATTCTGTATACGAACCTTCGAGAGCCCCTCGATCCATCCATCGCTTTAACGTTTCTTTCGAATGTTTCAACGACTCTCTTCGATGCATCTTCGGGATCGAGGTCCCACAGATCGCCGAAAGTCAGCGGACGTCTCCACCCGAGCCGAATGAGTCCCGTGAACCACGAGAACCCGAGCCGAGACAAGAAAGACGCGTGCTTCTCCGGCGATGGATTCTGCAGAGCGTCACCACTGGCAATGAACCAAGTCACAAATTACAAGCGAGAAAGGAAGGAGTTACTCACTTCGGAAATGGCGGTGATCCTCGAATATATTGGTCTTGCATCGGCGAAGCAACAGAGGAAAAGTTCAGCTGTTACGAGAGGAAATTCTATCGTGGCTGCCACAAAGGCGAACGACACTCCGCTCCTGCCCTTCTGCGATCGAAAATTCCCCGTATCATAGGGTGGCACAAGATAATTCCCCGAATGAAATTATTAACGTTACCTCGTGGTACATGTGGAGAATTTGACTCCAGAGAGATATGGATCCCCTGAGAAAAAGAAGCGCCCAGAAAATGAGTAAGATCCCCGACGTATGAATTCCTCTCGCCTTCTCCATGTACGTGAACAAGCAAACAAGAGCCTGGAACATCGAATCCGTGATTATCATCTCAGTTCCTGCATTTATCCACGATCTGATGTCGCACATTGACCAAACAATATTTTTCGGGATTGTTTCTCTTCTAACCGGAGAGAGTTTTCGGAAAAATAAATGGAATTTAGTTCCTTGAAGATGGGTTTCTCAAGTTGGTTTTTCCTTGCGGCCAGAAATATACATCGCATCCGTAACTATCATTTGATAATTGCGTCACGCAAAAGAAAATTAAGATAAATTTTTCTTAATTAAAATTAAGAAAATTAATAAAGTATTGGTATCTTGACACTGGGGTGAATGAGTTCGAGAAGCGAATCTCACCATGGTAAGAACGAGTATCACAGGCGTGAAGTAGAACACGGGCGCAGATCGATGCGAGGCAATTGCACGGACCAGATCCGCCGCATGAAGGACCAACAGCCCAGAGGCCAGAAGCTGCAAAGGAACAGATTTTCTACTCGATTCCTTAATCTGCCTGAGGGAATTCCTCGTGTAAGATGAGTTTAAGATCTACTTGTAGATATTAGGTTGAATATATTTTAGACACAGAGATATTTTATGCGTCGAGTTTCGTCTCTATCGTCGAAGCTCTAGCATGACAGCTGATTCGCCCCAAATGGCTTGAATGCGAAAAAGGAACTTGCGAGTACTGATGAATTGGACTCAGGACCTACCAGCTTGGACGCGTTCAACTTCGTCCATGGGATGTATTTCCCGACGCTCGCGAAGAGGTAGTGGATCTCTAACGCTGCCGTGACCCACAGCCATCCGCATGGGACCCACAGGAATGCTGTGTTCAGGAGGCATGGGGTCACGTCCGGGATTTCCGTGTGCCACGTCAGGTTTGCATCCTGTGTGGAACGCAAGCAAAGAAGCCGTAGCTCTTATACCTTCTTTTCGCAGACTTTGATTAGTTACACTTTCATATACAGTATGGGTATTGTAAATTTTATACCGGTGAGACAACCATAGGTCGGAAAGAGCTCTAAAAAAAAATAAAATAATTTCGACTGCTTTCCTGGTAGGAAATGAAAACGGGAGGACATGGGAAAATACAACAAAAAGAATTTGATTTAAATTCGACCTATGCGCGTACCTATCACGTAGAATCACGCGGGATCACGCCCGACTTTGCTAATCTTTGGATAATCTGATATCTGAATTTGCTAATATTTGGTCGGTTGCAGGGAGGCTAAAAAGAATGTCGCTTTATTCATTTTATCGCTATGAGAGTAATATTTGAAGCACGTTCATGTAGCTTATGGATGACATATCAGTCTTTCTTGATGTAGTAAAATTCGTTTCAATGACAAAAACAAAATTTATATTTCGTATTAGGCAAAGTAAATAATCGTAACTTTGATTTATTCCATGAGTTTTTGCTTTATTAATTTATTACTTATGTCTCATATATTATTATGTTAAGTGTCTTTAATTTCTTATTTCTTCATTGATGAGCTCTTGAATGGCGTTAATTGCTACAGCGATAGAAAATTTCCGGATTTAAATTGCTAAAAATGATCGAAAGCAATGCCGAAAGTGTCCAGTCAATAACTCGTACCGTGAACTCCAAGATGGTTCTCCCTCGAATATAATTTGCTCGAAACTGCAATTGTAAATGGAGTAAATAAAGCTGCTGCCTAAAAACTATTGGTAGTATTTTCTTCAAGTGGATTTCGCGGAATCTGGCAAGAGCAGGACTAAACATCCTCGAAGTTATGAGGTCGCGTGTCGATTTGATTAAATATCGCAATCATGTGGAAAATGAGTTTTCCGGTCTACCCTGTCTCGACTTGAGCTATTCTTTTTTTAGTTGCATGCCTTAAGGGCACCTGATGTCGCGATTCATTCTCCCATAGCCTCAAACAAAACCAAAGAAGTGTCTAATGGAAAGAACGTTTCCTGGAGATCGCAGAAACCTTCACATTTCCCACCCGCGGAATGATCGGGAAACCCACCCAGAATGGAGATTCGCAATATCCGTGGAATGCGGACATTTTTCCTTCGGGAGGCGGAGATTGCGGGACGGAGGACTCGGTCGCGACTGACGACCCGCTCTATCCAGCGATGAACACTTTGGCTTTCAGTCTGGATGAGAGAGACACGGCCGAGTTAATTTCATGGTCACGTGCATGTTGGCTACATTAAGGAGATTTGTTTGTTGTGCATGGCAGATTCGTTCGTGTGGGAAATCGTTCATGCTCTTCGAGTCGGAAAAGCTCGGAATGAGGTGTTTTTTTAACCCTTTGCGGTCATGTGTCGGGCAGGACCCGACATTAGAAAAGATTAGTTCCGGTCATATGTCAGGTGTTTTCCTGCCTTTTATTACGATATTTTATTTCACACGACATCTACCGATTGTATTTATCCATCTACCGACCGGCATTTGAAATGATTTGTTGAAATGTGTTTTTTTTCTTTTTCATTGAAATTAAATATGACCTGAGGGGACAACTAGTGGAAAATAAATATGACCGCAAAGGGTTAAACCAGCCGTCATTCTTTGGTGAGATTCTCTTTGGCGAGTGAATATCCATGGGCATGCGTTGATTATTTGACAAACGAGCCGAATGCCATCATGCGAGCATAAATTATGTGGTAGTAGATGCATTGGCTGCTACCAATGGGCCAGCCTGAGGTTAACGGGTTAAGGACCGACGCCGGGCCGAAGACACAACAGGCAAGATAGTAAGAAAACGTGGTGAGAGATAATCTACCTTTGAAAGGCCGGATCAACGAGCATGAGGACCTAGCGGTATTGCACGGAAGACGAAGTACACTAAGAAGCGGATGATAAGTACTTCTATGAGACATCTACCGACCACCGTCTTCTCACTCTGTGCGGCGAGAGTACGAGAGACGGCCCTCCGCGCCCGGATGGTGCAATGCGAGGCAATGAGCATGATGCAACGAGAAGACATCGATTCATGAGGTGGAAGCCCCGACCTTCTCTCGACTGCGCAGGTCTCGCATGTCGCGGGAGCGAGGGATCGCGGTGGAGGCCTGAGCGGGATCGGAAAATTCAGGGTCGCGGTCCAAAGTCGGATATGCGGAGGTAATCCGCTGGAGGAGAAATTTAATTGTATCTGCCTTTGGGGCCTTCACGTTTTACTCGTGACTTTCCCCCCCTTCAAAAAAAAAAAAAAATCAGCATCCTCTTTCCACTTTGTAGGATTCACCTCCATCACACGCAACCATTCGTAGCATGACCATTCCTATTCCTCAAAGAAAACTTTACCATCCCTCGGGATCCAGAGTGATAATTTTTTTTCTTTTTTTTATTGAACCTTCGCTACCTGATTACAACATCGTTGAAAAACTCTTTTCGTTCCTTTGATTCAGTATACAATGAATGATGATGACTCACAGGAGTTTCAACGGGGCGATCGAGGGAAGACGGAAGGGTTCCTAATTCCTCAGCTTCTCTCCCATCCCTCTCATTTCTTTTTGGAATGGTGATACTTTTTGTACGAAAGAGGAGTCGGACTGGGTCAGATTCGAGATTGGTCTTAGCTAATTTTTAACGGGAGTAAGTAGAATCCAGAGGGAATCCGAGCGGTTCGTCTCAAAGACAGACCTCACGGAAAAGGGCTCCCGCGCACCTCTCTCCTCTGAGCGGTGGCTGACGGAGGAAGGAGAGCATGCTCCGCCCGCTCGTGGAAGTCATTCACTCTCGCTTCGATTGAGTTCATGTGCCTTGAATCGGAAGGGCACGGTGGGAACTATGAATGCAGCGCGCATGGCCACATGCGCCATGTGGCGAGGATTAACTATGAATGAACGACATGTAGAACTTACGAGGGGCCTTCAAAAGGTTCCAGGACCGGCTTTCGTACGATAATATTATTAACTAGCCGACCCGTGGAAAACCTCCACGAACTCTTGTGCAAGAACTCCCGGGTTCATTCGCGGCCCTAAAACTCAGTGACCCTCTCATCGCTATAGATAGCAGACCCCCCTTTCCCATTCTTTACACGTCCCTGCGTTAACCCTTTAATCCAGCTGAAGGAAGGATGATTTCCTCGTCGGCGTGAGATCTTCGCCACTACATTAATCGGAATCCCGACCTCTTTAATTGATTGGTACTTTTCCTATCGATCACAACCCTGTCCGCTTCGGCCGTAAAGTCCATATCCATCACTTTTCGTGCATCCTTCCTCCAAGTGTACAGTAGCACGTGGGACGTTTTACTTTTCTCAGCGGAAAAGTCCGTATTGGATGGGTGAACACCCCATAAGTAGGAAGGGGGAGGGGGTGGTGACGGGGGTGTGCATAGAATGCCTCTCTCTCATGTTATAGTATTAGGAGTAGATGATAAAGTGCCGTCGTTGGTTCGGTGGTGTAGTGGTAGCACACTTGACTGGTAAGCAGGAAGCCTTGGTTTCAATTCCCGCCCGCACTCAAGTCTTCTTTCGTCCTCTTATGCCATCCGAACTCTTTCCTCCCTCACCCCTCCGGCTATTACATTCTCAAGGCAGTCACAACGGCCGGAAAGAGAGTGAGAACTCGAAAGAGCGAGACAAACACCTGGAGCTAGGCTTAAGGCGTCGCGCATGCGGACATAAAGACGCCGAAGCATAATATATACAGTATATAGACTAGCCCACCCGTGGAAGCCTTCTACGGACTCTTCGGGAAGAAATCGCTATAAACAGCAGTCCTCCTTTCCTATTTTTTACTTTTCCCCACGTACAACCCTTGGAGTCCCCTTTCATCCCGCTGAAGGGAGGATGATTTCCTCGCCGGGGTCAGATCTTCACCCTTATATTTATCGTCACTTTTTCCTATCAATCACAACACTGTCCGCTTCGTTCGTAAAGACCATCTCCATCACTTTGCGTGCAAGCCTATGAGTGAAACATACTGATGTGGATACGGGATGGTAGCGACACGACTGGCGGCATCCTTGCGATTCCAGAATAAGCCATCCTGTTCTGTCCCACCCTGATGGGAACCCGCCGCTTTCACCCTCTGGAGTTACTCTCCTTCGCACGGAGGAAAACGGGACTCCAAGTGTTGTGTCTGGGTTTTCTCGCGGGAAAGGCGAGGTGTGAACATCCCTTGGTTATCGGGGGGGGGGGTTCCAAATCCGCGGATGTCTTCCACGAACTGTTTCTCGGGAATCCCTGAGCTCCGTCAGCAGCCCTAAAGCTCAGCGGCCCTCTCAACGATATAAAGCAGCAGCACCTCCATCCCGTTCTCAAGAATGATCTGCTGAAGACTTCCACGAAGTTCGGGTCGGTTTAAGCCGTGGGGGTCTAACCGCCGGTCACCTACTTGATTTCGTCACGCATGCAAAGTCCTCTTCAACAATTGGTTTAGAAAAAGCGTAGCCTATTTCAACCTGTTGGCAATTTAAATGTTGGTGCAAGACGTGCGAATGTGGGCCCAACCACTCCTGAAAGGTTCCATCCGGCCACCATCTCAGTCAAGTTTGACATTTCTGGCCTAGGCTAAGCGTGTAACAGAGTCAGGGATTGCCAAAATGAATTGTGAGGCCTGGGGCAATATTCACGTAAGGGCCCCCTTGAACACTCTTCCCCCTTCCTTGCCGCTTCAACCACACACTGAGTATGTTTGAATTCTTCATTGCGAACGAACGCTACGCTAATAAACAATAGTGTGGTGTGGCCGGTCCTCCCCCAGGCAAGGGACACAGGGCAAATTCCCCATTTTGCTCCCCCCCCCCTTCTCTCTCTACGGTCTGGAACATAGTCGGGAATCCATGAGTTCAGTCAGTACTTGAACATTACGCGGCAACCTCTCTCTCCCTCTCCCCCCCCTCCTCTCTGATACAGTAGATGGGCTACGGACTTCATCATCGGAATGTGAGACTTTCATTGATAAAGATATTTTATGAGTGAAAGAAAAACTTGGAAAAGAAAACTTCCAATCAAGAGTCAAGTCAAGATAGTGACATCAAGAGGCGATTTCGCCCATTTCGATATCACGTGTCGAGGTCAAGCGTTCCTTAATCTTAGGGTAGGCCTAACCCTCTTAAAGCTAAATATTTATTTATTTATTATTATTTTTTTTACTATCCTAGTTGCTTATTGTCTAGTACCTAA